CTTCTCCCATCAGGCTTGCATTTCTGCAGTTCAGGCCTAGTCCATGAGGCATTTTGTAGTTTAATATGGTACTTTGTTCATGCACTTCATGCTGTTTTTTGTCCTAGAATGCTGTTCCCAGATGTATCTATATAATGCTGCTAATATAAATCATACTCACTGCTATTTATTCTACAAAGTGGTTTCTTATTCTCTCAGTCAGGGATGGTGGTGTTTTTTCCTCTGAACTTTCACAGTCCTATGGAAGGCCAGAGGGTTCTGTCATTTTTTATGATACATATGTAAGTAGTAACTGTGAGTCATTGTACAAGTTTTGGGTTGTCAGAATATTTACAAAACTTTATCCAATTTTTAATTTTTTGATGTATTTTCTATCATGAATTTTCTAAGACTAAAACTTGGTTGACAGTATCCATAAACTTCTATACATTTTTAAATATTTTTTTAAAGAGAGAGAGAGAGAGAATTTTAATATTTATTTTTTAGTTTTTGGCAGACACAATATCTTTGTTTGTATGTGGTGCTGAGGATCGAACCCAGGCTGCACGCATGCCAGGCGAGCGTGCTACCGCTTGAGCCACATCCCCAGCCCTTCTATACATTTTTAAATTAAGTTTTATTTTATTTTTTGGTACCAGGGATTGAATCCAGGGGTGTTCAATCTGAGCTACATTCCCAGGCTGGTTTTTGTATTTTTTTATTTTGAGACCAGGGTTGTTTAGGGCCTCCCTAAGTTGCTGAGTCTGGCTTCAAATTCATGATCCTCCTGCCTCAGTCTCCTGAACTGCTGGGATTATAGGTGTGGGCTACCAGGCCTGACTTTTGAGGAGCACTTAAAATTGTGATATACTGTATTATATGAATGCATTATACTTTACTTAACTATTCCTATACTACTGAACATTGAAGATTGTTTCATTTTTAATTGTTAAAAATAAAATCATGGTGAACATTTATGGCCATATATCTTTGTATTTTGGATGATTTTCTTAGTGCAGATCTGCAGGAGTTGAATTATTGGGTACCATGGTAAGAACATTGTTTCCTACTCTTGGTACCTGACTTGAGACATTGCTTTACAAAGGTATTATAACTATTGGCCCTGTCCTGGGTAGCATTGTGAGGGAGGGCTCTCTTTGCTATACTGTTATTGATATTGGAAATCTGCATTTAACTTACTTATTTGGAGGCCTTACTTTATTCCTTTGTGATGAACTTTCCAAGCTAGGTTGACCTCAAGTAAGTTGGCTCAGATATGTCCGCGAAGTTTCCCTTTGATAAAAACTGAATAAAATCTATTTTGAGAGTTGGGATGTCAAATAAAAAGAAAAGCTTTGTTAGAGAGGAAATGGAGGAGTTAGTATTATAATGTCCACTTTCTAGATGAATGTTATTCAATGAAGTACATATTGAATGAATTAACCTTTCTTCCCTTCAGTAATAGTAGTTATCTTTTCAAAATATTCTGAGTGATTTTTGGAATTTTAAAGCTTAATAGCTCTTCTGAATTTCACAAGAATGGAATTAAGTGCAGTCAGTGTACAACTGTACCTTAACTGGAATTCTAGATAAATTGGATTATAATTCAGACAGGCTTCTACAAGGTTTTTCCTATTAGTAAATGTTGACCCTGTCTAAGGGAAATATGGAATTGAGAGAATTTGGGATTTTCTACTTTTCCCTTTATTTATAGTCATAGCATATATGTGATTTTTAACAGAAACTTCCAGATGTACTAAAGTACTTTTCTGTACTTTAGCGGTACAGCTGGATCCACTTAAAGAAATTGAATAAAATTCCCAATAAAGATGACCAGCAGTAGGATTTTTTTTTCAGCTTCTCTCAGTTTTTCTCAGACTTAAATATGTGAAGTGAAGTGAAATGAAATGAAATATTTGATTCATCATGTACCTGTTGCCTTAAATATGATCCTATTTTCTGTTGACTACAGTCTATTTGTTTTAGTGATGCTAATGTTATTGAATGGTTTTTAGTCCTAAAACTTCCTAGTAGTGATATGTCTTGTTGTGCATAGAAATCCTCTTAAGTTATTCAGCAAAGCACACTTGGTTTTTGTTAATGACTGCATTGTTCTTCCTTCTCATTCATGACACCAGTGATTTTTCTGATATCACAGTAGGCTTTATTTTCTCAGCCTTCGTCCGTTTATCACTCATTTATAAATAATCCTCAGACATAACAGGAGGCAGTCAGCATCTGTGAGGGTCAGATTATACCTATGCAGATTTTACTGTATTGTCTCAATGGACAAATGCTTAACAGTCCTTGGCAAAGACAATAAGGGATTAAAACATCTCCATTGAGTTTTCTCCTTGCTCTAACAGGCTTTGGAAATTGGGTGTATTAGACAGAGGTCTAATTGTCATTGTTGTGCATTTTGTCAACTTTATCAATGAAGACTGCAAAGATATGAAATGATCTCTGATGTCTATGTACTTTCAAGGCTTACACAGCCAATTTAATCCTGATGAACATATTTAATAATAGAGTATTTTATAATTACTGGCCCAGATTTTTCTTTTCTTTTTAAAATATGTTTTTAAAATATATTTCTTTTTTAGTTTTTAGGTGGACACAATATCTTTATTTTTTATTTTTATGTGGTGCTGAGGATCGAACCCAGTTCCTCATATATGCTAGGCAAGCACTCTACCACTGAGTCACAACCCCAGCCTTCAGATTTTTCTTATACAATATATATGTGTTTAATTTCTCCTTTTACTGTGCTCTCTCAGTATTTAATTCATCCCATATTTAATTTATCCAATTCTAGGTGTTGCACTGTTTGTTGAAACAGGCTTAAAAATCTGTCAGGAGGCCTTCCTACTTTTTCGATCTTTTCAGTGTTGAGTGGTATTTTACATGGTTGGTGCTTTCTGTATAGTTTCTTAAGCTGAATGCTCTTTAAAACGTTCCCGTGCTTAGTCTAGACTACTGTTCCTGCAGGTGAACTGATAATCCAGGCTTGATTGCTGGGTATATTTAAAGGTATACAAGTTAATTGCTAGAGATAAAGGTAAGAGTACAGTATACTGAGCTGACTTAAGACTAAGTGTGCTTAGTCTAAGGGATGAAGTTTGTATTAATGATCTTCTTTAAATGTGTATGTGCCTTGTTATATATTGGAACTTCAGTTCTATTTGGGAGAAACTTTTTAGATTGGCTTCTTCTGACCATAATATATACTGTTATACAGATGACAATATTTTGTTTTCCCTTTACATGGTTCATTATGTTTTTTAAATGTCATAAAATGTGTGTTTTATAATAACTTTTGGAATTTCAATGTTTTTGTTCTACACGAGACCATACTGGGAAGTATGTGAGTTTAAAATAGGTTAAATGTAGACAATCTCATTATTAGTTTGGCTGGTAATCTTGAAATTATTCTATTGCTTTTATATTTAAAATAAAACTTTAATCTGAAATATTCTTCTTCCTACTCAGTGGTTCTTAAAATTATAGTTTGCTATTTGTTTTTGAACTGTGTGCTTTTTTCAGGACTAACTTTTTTTTTTTTAGCTTTTTCTCCTGAGATGATGCTTTCTTCTTTTTCTTTTTTTTTTTCCCCTATAGCTGTGTATGGGCAGAATGTCTTTATTTTATTTATTTTTATGTGGTGCTGAGGATCGAACCCAGTGCCTCACACATGCTAGGCAAGCACTCTGCCACTGAGCTACAGCGCCAGCCCTGATGTTTTATTCTTAATGATCCTTTTGAAAATGGAAGTTTATAGAAGACATGAAGTCCTTACTATCAGTGTCCTACGAATGATTATCCTGACTGCAGCTGAAGTGCTCTATAGTCTTAATTTTTTTTTAATTTGACAGAGCATAGATTATGACTTTTTAATATGACTTTGCAGCAGTTTGTGGTCTAGAAGTGGCAATATGAGCTTCAAGAGGGACTGTTAATGTCCGTTTTTCACAGGAGTTCCAGCATCTTGGCCATCCCTCCTTTTTCCTCTTTGCATTGTAGCTGTGTTTTGGGCTTTATTGTTGCTTTGTGAGTCCTCTCCTACTGTGAATGTGAAGGTATGGAGGATTTAGAAGAAGTGGGGCTAACAGTCCGCTGATGGAAGCTTTCCAGGCTAGTTACCCTGGCAGTTTTCTTTGTTGGAAATAAGCAAGAGTAAAGGGAGAAAAATCTTCTGAAATGCCAGGAAGTGTTGCCAAGTGATATGCCGACAGCTGGGCCTGACAGTGGTTGCTGGACACCGGTCATTTCTGTCTGTCCCTTCTCCCTGCTGTCCCCTGAACAACGAGCTCTCCCAGAGGAATGCCTGTTCTCTTTCTAGAAGACAGCTCTAGCCCTCAGTTTTTCTGATAGGATGTTGATGTCTTTGAATGTTTTCAGCCTTAGCAATGAGGTTCTCCTTAATCATGCTCTCTGCCTCTTCATGCAGTTTTCAGATTTTACTTGTGAACCAACTCCATCTCTCTTTTATTCCTCTTGCTCTCTTCAATGGCAGCACATACAGAGCCACTTTGAGGCTCATGACTTTCCACATGACAATAGGGCATTGATCAGGTTGGCTATATGTTTGGGATTTGTCAGTTCCTTTGTCCCTTTATTGTCTGCCTTTCAGTACCTTTTCTCTGTATTTCAAAAGAGCTTTGTGTACCTCCTCCCTTTATGTGTAATCTGGCTGGGCAACTTTCAGCTTTCTGTTCTCCTGCTCAAACAGCCATCTCGAAAGTGGAATTTGGTATATGCCTCACTTCCAAAACAGGGTGCTCTTCTAGTTTTTTCCATTCATTACAGACTTTTTTTTTTTTTAAGAAAAAGATTTCCTTGGATTTATAAAAGGTTTTCCAATTTTGAATTTTTAGAGCTACAAAACCCCTGAAAAGGAAATAATGTGAAGACAAAGACTTATTCTGTAAATATAGACAGAATAATATATCAAGCTAGACCCTCACATAATAGGATATGGATAGAGTATATTACAGATTTTTAAAAAATATTTATTTTTTTAGGTGTAGATGGACACAACACAATGCCTTTATTTTTATGTGGTGCTGAGGATCGAATCTGGGTCCTGCCCGTGCAAGGTGAGCAGTCTACCGCTGAGCCACAATCCCAGCCCCGATTTTTTTATATTCATAATAATATTAAAGTGTGGATACATTTTCATTTTTTTTCTTTTCTTTCCCTTTAACATTTCATCAATGCAAAATTTCTTTCGATTTTAATTTTGTATTCTATATTTTCCTGTTCTCTAGGGCCTTTAGCATAAAACTTAAACCTTTTGACCAACTTTAAAACAAAATTTAAAAAATATTTCTTTATAAGAGATGAATTAAATTTATTACCATAGTACCAAGAAAATTTTATTTCAAATGACTAATTCAGAATATCGGGGAGGGACACCATGAATTAAGTTAAACAGCAGGCCTGTTAAAATGCAAGCATGTGTTGAACTGTACTTTCAATATGAGAAAGTATAAGTTCTTGTGGTCTTTGCTCCCTCTGGCTTCTAATCTATAGCCAATTTTTCTTTGTGTGGGGGTAGACATTTAGTTGTTCAGTTTAGAACTGAGGGACCAGTGTAAATTTAAGAAGAGCAGGAAAGAGAATGGAAGACTAATCCATTTGTAATGTTCCATTATGTAAGATATACCCTCTCCCAAGAGTAGGTCCTTAACGGTTGAGACCAGGTGTTCTTTGCTGGAGTCCAGCATAATGGCATCTCCATATTGAAGAGCCTCAGTCTCTGCCTCTCCCCATCTGTGTGCTTTGCTTGTCTCTGATAGTTGGGACAGCTTGCTTATTTATCTAAGATAACTGTAAGATTTCTGTAAGGGAATGGCCAATAGTTGAATGACAAGAAGATAATAATGTATGTTAGTAATCTATAAATCTTTTGAACATTAGTCCCAAATTAGCCCTGTTTCTTAAATGACATTTTAATAAATAGACTGCTAATTATTTTACTACGTATTTGTTGAAGATTCCTTTTTCTGTAAGCATATATATATATTTTAATTACTGTATTTTGTTTGCATACTTATCTATCTATCTATTTATTTATTTATTTTCTCTGTTAGAGTGTGACCCCAGGTCTGACACATGCTAGACAAGTGCTCTACCACTGAGGTAGAAAATATTTTGTTTTTTTTGAGGAAGGGTCTCTCTAATTCACTCAGGCTGGCCTCAAACTTGTGACCCTCCTGCCTCAGTCCCACCCTGCTTAGTGCCTCCCCCACCCCAGTGTGTGTGTGTGTGTGTGTGTGTGTGTGTGTGTGTGTGTTTGGTGGTGGTACTAGGGATTGAACCCAGAGGACTTATATCACTTCTGACCTTTAATTTTTTTTTTTTTTTTGAAGCAGGTTCTGGCTAAGTTATTCAGGCTGCCTTGAGCTTGCTTGTGATCCTCCTGCCTCAGACTCCTAAGTAGTTTGGATTACAGGAATGCATCACCATGCTCAGCTCCCCCTTTAAAAAAGAAAAAAAAATTGGCGGGGGGCAAAATTTTCAGTTTTCAGAGAGGTTGAAAGACTAGCTGATTACATAGAGCAATTATAGTTTAATTTGATATAGTTAGAAAGAGTGTGTGTGTGTGTGTGTGGGGGGGGTATTGGGGCTTGAACCTAGAAGCATTCTACCACTGAATTATAATATTTTCACATACCCCCCCACCTTTAAATTTTGTTAACAGGGTCTAGCCAAGTTGTTCAGGCTGGCCTTGAACTTGTGATCTTCCTACCTCAGTCTCCAGAGTATCTGGGATTATGGGTGTATACAACTATGCCTGTCTAAAGTTAGAAGTTTTTGTTTATTTAGTTTTTTATGTGGTGCTGGGGATTGAACCCAGTGCCTCATGCATGCTATGCGAGCACTCTACCACTGAGCCACCACCCCAGCCCACTAGTCACTAGTATGGCAATATGTAAATCAATGGGTGTGTAATTGATGTGATTCTGCAATCTGTATATGGGCTAAAAATGGGAGTTCATAACCCACTTGAAGCAAAGTGTGAAAGAACTATGTAATGTTTTGAACAACCAACAATAAAAAAAATAAAGTTAGAAGTTTTTAATTATGCCAATAATTTAAACTTTAGAAGTGTTATTCTTCATAATCTAAATTTAGTATTTATGTGCTAGAAACTAAAATTCCTAATTATATATGCTTTCTTCTTTATTTGGTTTTCTATAATTATTTCATATTTTCTGGTAATCTCCCTGTAATCATGCTAGCAAAACATTTGAAATCAAATTAAAAAAACCGGTTGACTATGCTTTTTTATCATGTTAAATGACATTTTAATAAATAGTGTCCTAAGGATGGCCATCCTGTTTTCTAAATATATGTCTATAGAGGTCTTCTAGTTTATATACATAAGCATTTGGTAGTTTAATGTAAATACTAAAATTACAGACCAGCATTATTTGGATTTTCTGTAATTAGCTCTTTCTGAAGCTGAAATAAAGAAAGATGAAAGATTTCTCAAACACATGTTAGCTTTGGTTTAAAAATTCTAACATTATCCAGACTTTAAAAAGTACTGTCTACCTGTTTCTTCATTGCTCAATATTGAGTGTGTGGTTTTCTGTATATTCTTTTTGTATATAAATATAGGAATATTCACCTCTAAAATTATCTACACCCAGCAACAAGTTATGAAAAGTTTTAATAACTTGCCAAGTGCATGTATTTTTATGTAAAGTGTTCAAAAGAAATAAACAATCATATATTCCTTGGAAAAGATAAAAGGAAGTAAAAATACTAAGTTGAGCTGTTAATAGAGTTGGCTACAGTTAGTGAAGTCATGGATTTTCCTCTGTTTTTAAAAATTTTATGAACATGACCATCTATCCCCTTTTCATTGAAGGGAAAATTGAGGACAGTTGTGATGTAGCTACTATTGTAAACTGGAAAGTTTCAGGAGGAACAAATAGTAGTAAATGGAACAGGCTTATTTACCTACCTGGTGGCCACCCTCTCTCTGTGTTGTGTCATGCCTGGATAAAGTCCAGCCCCCTCATCCTAGCATGGCCTCTGCACAGTGCCTACACTGTTAATAGGCAGCCTGCTTGCTTCCTGGCCACAGGGCCAGGGACCTTGGACAGAAGCATTCCTTGTTTTGCCTTAAGCTTCTACATTTCTGTTTGTTTTCAGCTTAGGTGGCCTATCTGCTGCAGAAATCCTGTCACACAGTAGAACTTCTGCTTTGATTCACTATTTTTTTTTCTTTTTTAAATAAAAAACACTCTAGACTCTCTATTAGCAGCAGCAGCAGCAGCAGCAACAGCTGCTCGTTTGTGTTTTGAGAAATTGTCTACCCCAAGATCATGAACATATTTTCTGTTTTAGGTCTTACATTTGAGTTAATTTTTGTAGATTATATGGAATGTAAGTATGGATCAGTGTGGGTTTTTGTTGTTTTGTTTGTTCCACATGGTTATCCAGTTGATTCAGCTCTGCTGAAAAGACATTTTCCCTCTTTCAAGTTGCCTTTGCAACTTTGACAAAAATCAATTGGCCAAACACATGTGAGTCTATTTCTGAACTCTTTCATTGTTTGGTGTCTATCTTTACACCAGTACCAAAGGTCTTGACTACTGTTGCTTTATAGTAAATCTTAAAATCAGATAGGGTAGATCATTTAATTTGGTTCTTTTAAAAACTCTTTGGTTGTTATAGGACATTTGCTATATATTTCTGTCCTTGCCAATTTCTACTAAAAATTTTGATGGGGATTGCATAGAATGTACAGATAGATGCACTGGGAGCCAGTTACCATTCTAACTATATTGAATCTTAAAATCTCTAGACTTGAAATTTTCTTAGCAATAGTTTGTAGTTTTTAGTGCAGAGGCCATGTATATCTTTTGTTAAAAATTGTACCTAGGAATTTTATAATTTTTGATGCTACCATAAATGGGATTGTTTTGCTTAATTTTACCTTTTAATTATCTGCTTGCTAATATATAAGAATTCAGATCATCTTGGTAGTGTATGCCTGTAATCCCAGTGACTTGCGAGGCTAAGGCAGGAGGATTGCAAGTTCAAGACCAGTCTCAGAAATTTAGTGAGGCCCTAAGCAATTTAGCAATATCCTGTCTCAAAATCAAAAAATGAAAAACAGAATTAAGTTCTTTTAGGTTAATGTGAATAAACATAAAACCTGAGTGGTGGGAATAAAATAATTAAGTTTATTTACATTTTTTACCCCAGTGCTGAGGATTAAACTGATTTTTGATATATTATCTTTCATCCAGCAATTCTACTAAATTGCTGAGTGAATTTGCTAAATATTCTGCTAATATTTATATGCTAATCATTGTTTTCTAGATTTTCTATGTAAAAAAACTAGGTTGTCACTAAGGACATTTCAGTTTTTTTCTTTTCCATTCTTTATGATTATTATTATCATTTTTTAAAAAATTTTTGCCTGTTGATTTTTTTTTTTATTTTTTTCTTTCCTGGCTTCTGTGGATTTTTGCATTGATTTTCTGTTATCTATTGACTCTTTTGGGGTATCTCTTTGTATTTATTTTAATTTTTTTATAACTTTATTTATTTTTTTAATGTTGTGCTGTGAATCGAACCGAGTGCCTCTATAACTGAGCTATAGCCCAGCTCCTATATTTATTTTTAAGTAGTTCTTTTTTTTTTTTTTTTTTTTTGCAGTACTGAGGACTGTAGGTAAATGTATTTACCTAAGCTGTCATAGTATCCCTCAAATTAATACTGAACATGTCAAGTAGAATATAGAAGGCTTGTAGCCGTAGTGAGTCTTCCTCCACAGACTTTTATTCTGTGACTGTCATCTATATTTTATTTATATGGAAACACCTCCTAGACAGTGTTGCAGTAGTTACTTTTCAACAGTTTACATATCTTAAAGAGGTTAGTAAGAAAAAATAACTTTATATTCATGCAGATATTTGCCATTTCTGTTGATCTTCCTTCATTCCCTAAGATCTAAATTTCTCTCTTAATTTTCCATTTGATTCTTCTTAAATAATTTTTCATTGTCTAATGGGAAGCTGTGTCTTTCCATTCATTTTTTTGTGTTTACCTTTACGTCATGGAGGATAGGGAT